GTTTCTCCTTTTTTCTGAACTTTGGATGTAGATAGGTTACTTCCACTAACTTTTCGTAAATTTCGGATATTCGAGTACAAATTCTAAAAGGGTTACTTGGCTTGTCTTCTAGCCGCTACAACAAAGACTTTTCGACATTTTTCAAATGTTTTTTGATTTAACATTCGAGGAAGATATTTGCATCTGTGGAAACAACTGCATTATGTGGCATGAAAATGTTGGTGAACTGAAGGCTGTGGTTTCAAGAGAAGAGTGTCTTTGCGCTAAGCTATACTCAGACAGAATGCAGGAGCATCTGAGATTACACTAGAAATGATAGTTTTTAATCATCTATTCTACTTTTATATGCTGTTACTGACTGTTCCCTCGACAAAGTACAAAAGTCTATTGCAGAAACTTTCTACGGAGATTTCATTGGAAAGATGAGATCGTTCTAGAAAACTAAGTGAATATTCCTTGAATTACTTTAATTCTACTCATATGTTTATACGTCATTTCTGCTCAAAAGGGAGGAGCAAAGAAAGGATTTAGCGTGATTCGTGAAGTTGCGTGCACACCTCTATAACAACTTAGTCGCCACAATTTGATAGCTCGTACAGTGTCGCCGTGACGACAAATTCGCATGAGACTCCATCCATCGTGACGATTGGTAGCCATAGCTTGCGATAAGGTGCATGTTGATTACTGCTGCCTGACGCGGCTTCCTCTGGAGTTTGACGCCATTGGGATTGGGGACCGCCATAGCTGGCGTGTCTGCGGAAAGATTTACAAAAATGAGGAAATTGTGGTAATTGAAAAAGATTTTTTGGAGACAATGTGGAAATTATCTCCTTTTTGATGATTTATGATTGTTGAAGAAAACAGATGATAGAACACCCTTCTAATACAAAGTGACCTTATACTGCGATACCCCTTTAGTAACTGAATGCCTGAAACAAGTCTCGAGGATGTAGACATTACTGTGCATTGGGTTAAACTTTTCTTTTGTTGATGCAAACGTCAGCTTGTCGATATTTCTAATGGCTTTGCTTATAGTTTATTCGAAGCTAGGACAATTTTTTGTTATTGAAGATTTTTGTTACAACATCCTTTTTATGTATTAGTTTAAATTAATGTGTTTCCAACGAACTTCCTTTCAAAATGTACTCAACAATCTTCAGTAGATTTTCGAATGACGCCTTTGAAGAAGTTGGAGGGTCAGCGATCGCTCATAGCCACCCCTTTTTTTGAATCAAATTGGAGAAGTTGTAGAGAGCGATGTCTCGCTAAAGACCATTGTGGGCGAAAATGGCCAGAATGGACTAGACTGAGGGATAGAGTGGCGAGAATTCAACGACCAAAATTTATCTTCTCATCATCGAGCACCGCTCAAACGAATTGAGAGAAACTTAGCTATAGAGTCGACTGCCTATAGTGCCTAACAAAGTTTTGGATGGACACTGCCCTTCAATGCGATCTAACTTGCTGAAACATCTAAAAGATGAGTGAAAAAGAATCTTGGTTGTAAGGAATTTTTGAGCTGACAACAATAATTGATCCATAGCTGACAGAATTCCATCTAATCTGCAGCTACAAATTTACGCACAACATGTTCATCATAGCAGTTTTTAATATTGCATGATTGCTGCTTTCCGATTCAAACAAATTTGTCGGGATTGGGAGTGTGCATAAATATATCAATGACGTATTATTTACATCAAAATGATTAAATGAATTTTGTGACCAAACTACTGATAGAAATGTTTTTTTCAAAATACGCATACAGGATCTGAGAAGCAGACGACCACCTGGTGAATCAACCAAATACAAGGAACGCTAGAACTTAATTATTAATAGTATCTCATTGAAAAAATAGTAAGTGCAAAGGTTGGCTTTCATTTCAGCTCACTTGTGATTAAATGCTGCGTAAAGGACAGTGAAGAATTAAACCTCCCAACTAAGCGAATAGTTAATACAGACATCGTTTAAGGACACTTAGACAGAAGAGATTCCTATTCAATGCATTTGCCGACTAATCAACCAATAGATAAAAAGGCGACTGCAAGAGAAAAAGCACCAAGAAGCACTAAACTGTACATCTGTCATCAGCGCAACACCAGTGCTCAGAAGCAGAGACTAGTTTCCTTTACAACCAATGAAATTAAAGCTGACGAGGCAATGTAGTTAATGAATAGTGACGGCATAGATAAACAAAGAGCAAAATGCTATGAAACTGAAAAAGATTGAGCTGGGAATGTTTAGGATCACAGGATAGACATAGCTTGGGAGGGCACAAAGTTTCCAACAACAATGAAAAAATAAAGATTTAAGAGCCCGTGATTGATGGACGATCATGTTACGGCATCATGGCGTAGTCTTACTAGAGATAGAATCAGTATACCCATGAAACCGGCAACCACTGTGGGCAGACTGATAGCTTTTCAGCAATTTGTTCCAGTTGAACAATAGTTTCATCAATATCATTGTTAACTATCACATAGTCGAACAAATGGCCAAACGCTTGCCGAAGGATCTCAGATTCTCGCAGGAGTCGCTCCAGACTACCGTCAGGCTGAAAAATGCTAGTCAAAGAGCTACGAGAACCAAAAATACAGCTTCACTCACATCCTGGAGACCCTGCAGATTGGGAGCTGCAATAAAAACGACAAATGGTGAGTACTCTGCTGTCCTCAACACCTAAAAGTGACAGATAAGAACATAAGAACATAATTGTACTTTAAAAATTGCGCACAAATGGCAGTTTCTTACAGAACGACGAAGTTGATTTCTTATAATTATATGAAAATAAAATTGGACATGTTTATGCTATACTTCACTTCGCATAGCTTCTTTTATCAATTCCATAAAATAATTGAAATGGCGAAAAGAAAGCAAATAACTAAGAATAAGAAATCTAAAGCGTACCTTTAGCGCTTGCGGTTCTACATCTAGTATTGCTACTTTACCACTTTTGTGTATGTTACGAATCGTTTCCAGCTTCGTTCCATACATGCCTGAACACAACCTTAAACAGGTCATAAATCTATCAACAACGTTAACTCAGCTTACTTTCTTCATGAGTCCCATATTCAAGGTACTCATTGTTTTGTATGTCAATAAGCATTTGGTCGTTGGAAACGAAAAAGTAATGCTTTCCATCAACTTCCTCCTTTCGTGGAGGCCTCGTTGTATCTGAAGAGAACTATGCTCAGAAACGATAAAGGCAATAGCTCAAAACATTTCCTTACGTGGTATCGGATAAGCAAATTTATTTGGGTGCCTATGGATGAGTGTATTTTTGATGTGTCGCCGCCCAACACCATGCGCCCCTAATAGTACCAATGTTTTCCGCCGATACTGCGACAATCGCATTACCTGAAAGTCGTATATCGTCTTCTGGGAAAAGATAAGGAAGTCCAGAACTTCACCTCTTCGTATGTAACAAGGTCCAGTTGATCAAAAAGAGCAGAATGTTTTTGGAGATATTTTGTTGTATAATACTTCTTTCTTCTATTGAACCACATACAATGTGCTGAAACTGGCATGAGTATAATAGGCGTTATATTGCAAAATATTTTACTTTAAAATACTGGCATACCGCCTTGACTCCTCTTTCAATTTATAATTGTAGTATTTTATGGGTGGAATAAGAAAAATATTCAATTGCAACCCTAAATTTCTCTAAAAGGATGTCTTGCATCGGATCGGCTACTCCAGATTTACGATCAAAAGGATCTGGCGACCTACAGCAAAAAAATCCCCGGACCTTCAAAGAGTACGTTATTTGATAAGCCTGGAACACGTTTTCTCTACCAAAAAAAAACTGTATAAAACCCAAGCCTACATTTCTACTTTACTTTAGACGTCTAAACAAGTAAAGAAGCGTAGTGCAACTAAAGGAAGTCACTCGCTAATTTGAGATTATAATTGACTCCAAAATATTTTCTTAACAAAAGAAAAATTGGACAGAAAATGTTCAAATTTTGAGGACAATTGTTCAATGATAACGTGTAAGTGAGATTGCTCATGAAATCATGATCATGCTTCAGGTACGATTAGGCAAGCACGACTAATGCAAGGGAATATGTTCAAAATAATATCTCTCACAATGATCTTTCGCTCTCTCCATCGCTAAACAAGCAGTCCTCCATTCTTGCAACTCTGGAGAAGGTATTAGTCCAGCAACGTTGAGTGAGACAGTTGACGATGTTCCAAAAGAAGGAAAGCTCGAGACAAATCGTGCTTGCCACCAGTTATGATCATCTTTTGAGATCACCTGAAATCAGAGGCTGAGATGCTTCAACTAATAAATATCGATTCCTAACTTACCTGGAGTATGTCACCAGTTTTAAAAGGAACGCCTGCTTGTGGACAGGGAATCAAATCATCTTCAGAAGGATCATAATCAAATTGAGCACGCACAAAAATTTCACATGCGGGTGGTGCGGAGCGATATGACGGGACAATCTTGAAGGTAACCTGAATTCATGAGATTATGGTGAGAAAACACAGTACTTTTGCTGAAATGAATTAGCATGAGCCTATCCTTAAAAAGAGAAGTTTCCTCAGAAAAACATTTGCACGTAGGCATAATTTGCACAAAGTTTTTTGCGTTTTTAGCGCTACTCAACCTTGGGGAACTATTATTCATTTTGACTGGAATAAATTTCTATTTTTAAAAAATTCCTCATTGGCGAGATATGCCTAGGCTTGAAGATAATGCATGTACAGTAAGACAAATACAAAGATATGAAGGGAATTGATAGTTCTTGATGCTTACCACTAGTAAAACAAATACCGGTGCCACTGTAGCAACAATTACAAATATCGCTTATAAACAGAAAGCCCTTCCAATATAAGAGAGTTACAGGGATAGTGATTCTCAAAAACATGCAACATGCCAGTTGCCAAAATAGTACAAAGAAAAGACTTCTGAAAATTACAAAAAGCTCAGTGCAAATACTATGAAGCCAACGAGTTCTTACAGGCACAGCAAAGCATATGAATAACAAATTGGCACCAAACCCAAAAGAATGCTCAAACAAGATAATTGCCCAAACCTAAGTGCAGTTATGATAAAGAAGAGATTCACCAAAGGTGTCACGTAGTACAATATCCTTGAGACCAACTTGATATATTTACTTTCAATCTCAAACGATGCTATTATTGATATGCTTGACCCAAAATTGAGTATAATCGTGGTTATATAAGATCTTTTTGAGCATCACCTCTTAAATTCATTAAACGCTCACCTGCCCTCGAGCATCTCTCAGCATTTGTTGTAGTGACTCTACCGAACGATTGGCAACGGATATTCCATCAATTTCACGAATTTCGTCGCCTACATGCAAAGTGGCTGGAAAGGGCCCTATATACGATTGCACAGCTGTATACATAGTTTAGAAATACACAATCCAGAGATTTTGATAATTTTTCTCTCTTTTCCTTTACTTCTCTCATTTCTATCCCTCTACTTGTCTTCGATAAAGATAGCGTTAAGTCATAAAATAGTAAGAAAACCAGTAAGCTTGGATGTCATGAACCGAAAGCGCGTATAAATAGACGACTGGCACTGTAATATCGCGTTCTATCTTTCGTTCTCTGCGATCGGAATGTATATAGGTCTAGTCGCAATTTTCTAAGAAAAGCTATCAGGATAAAGTTAGACAAGTAATTCTCGTCTAACCTTGCCTGTGAATCATTCCTCCGTGCATGATTCGAGCTACAAAGCATCTCCCATCTTCAGTCACCTGAAAAATCAAAAAAGCTGGTTCAACACGAAGTACTTTACCTTCACTGTAGTGACTATATAAAGTGCATAAGTTGAGAACGTGCGAGGAAGGCGACGTCAGTGCAAACACTGTTCAGTCGATTGAGAAAAGAGGTACTTTGGTAAAGCGAAGTAATTAAGTAATTGAAAATCTATAATCAAAGTTCTAAAAAAACAACTACTCTCAAAGGTATCTTATTCTCTTTCCCTTTTGTTAAACTATTAGAGTGTAAAGAGAAATTACGAAAATGGAATGGAAAGAAGACCTTCAAAGTGATGCCCATAGGTTCTTCTGTATCTTTTTGGAAATGGACCAACCGAATCC